GTAAAAATATATTCACGCGGATAAAAAGAGAGAGAGAGAGAGAGAGAAGAAGAAAAAAAAGATGAGGAAGAATAAAATATAGAAAAATTACAAAAATTTCTCATAGAAATAATATTTTACAATAACATTTCGAAATTTTATCTAAAATTATTTCGCAATTTAACTATAATATATAAGATAATATTTGAAATATTATTCCATACCAGTTTTACAATTGTGTTCCTGAAAAAAAAAAAAGAAAAAAATACTTTCAAAGTAATTTCCACAGACACGTTTAAACACACATTTATTATTTATAATTAAAATACAAAATTATACTAAGTGTGTGTATAATATATGATTAAGTAATTTTTACGAATAAATAATAGATAAATGTTCGCGTTAGATTATATTTTTATCGACATTTCAATAGAAATATAATGATCGAGATAGAAAAAAAAAAAAAAGAAAAAGGGATCAAATATATCACACATACCAGTAACGTTGGTATGGAAATCCATCTTTTTCCCCTTGGCAGAAAAATTGAATCGAGCCAAGTGAAAAATCCCGCCACGAATTCCTTCAACGACCTGTCTTCTTCATCTCATTCTCTCTCTCTCTCTCTCTCTCTCTCTTTCTGGTCTTTCTTTCTCCTACATAAATATACACGGACAAAGTTACGTATACAGGTATATATACACACACACATATTTTCTTTCTCTACTAACATCAACGTTCTACCACTTAGTCTTCATATCGCGTTTTACGTGGCCGCAAGTAGCTTGCTAGAAAATAAAACGAATCGTGGCAGCTCGTTCGCTACGGTTTTAACTTTTTACAGTTTGACGTTCGCAAGCGTGAATGAACGTTTTCCCCCCAACGATAAATATATTAATTTTGTTTTCTCTCTCTCTCTCTCTCTCTCTCTATATATATATATATATATATATATATATATATATATATTAGGGTGAATCAAAAAAAAAACTTTTATTTTTTTTTTGGATCTGACACACAAAAACTTGTTGCTAGGCACCTTTAGAAAGTACTCACCCAGTATGGGCTCTTAATTTCAATAGGAAGATCCTCCTCATCGCGGTTTTTTATTTTTTTCTCAGTCCAATAGAAAAAAATTCATATTTCCTCATTAATTGATTATACAAAAAAATGTTTTTATCAAATTTTGTAGGAAATTCAATGTTCTACAAAAAAGGTATCTTATGTTTTTTTCGTAAACCTCACTATTTAAAAGATATTGAAGATTTTAGTTTGATTATTTTAAGACAAATTTCATTTTTGTTTATGAATTTTGTTACTGACTGAGTAATAATTATTATCGAATGAGATGCGCTGATTCTTGTAGGAAATTTAACGTTTTGCAAAAGAGGTTTAATTAAGGTTTTTTTTTAATTTAAAATAAAATTTTTAATAAGCCAGTTAAAAAATAGTAAGTCGTGATTTTAAAGGCAAAATAAATAAAAAAAAAATGTTTAATAAAAGTTGATTGGAAAATATTATATACTCCGAAACAAATTAAATACAAAGGAAATATTTTAATTCAATTTATATAAACTAAAATTCTCGTAAAAATTTCTAAAATTCATGAATTTAATAGATAAATTTAAAAWAGTTATTAAAAAATTATTGAAATCAGAAAGCATTGGGATTCGTATACGAATATCTTTTAAACGGTTGGAGTAATCAATTAAACATAYCAAACCTTTTTTGTARAGCGTTAAATTTCCTACAAGAATCAGTGCATCTCATTTGATAATAATTATTACTCAGTCAGTAACAAAATTCATAAACAAAAATGAAATTTGTCTTAAAATAATCAAAACTAAAATCTTCAATATCTTTTAAATAGTGAGTTTTACGAAAAAAACATAAGATACCTTTTTTGTAGAACATTGAATTTCCTACAAAATTTGATGAAAACATTTTTTCGTATAATCAATTAATGAGGAGGTATGAATTTTTTTCTGTTGGACTGAGAAAAAAATAAAAAACCGCGATGAGGATGATCTTCCTATTGAAATTAAGAGCCCATACTGGGTGAGTACTTTCTAAAGGTGCCTAGCAACAAGTTTTTGTGTGTCAGATCCAAAAAAAAAATAAAAGTTTTTTTTTGATTAACCCTAATATATATATACAATTATTTCTCCATTTCGAGTAGAGAAAAAAAAAAAGAAAGTAACGTTAGACTCGAAGAATTATTTTTTCTATTACAGATAAAAACCTTGTTTTTTTTTTTTTTTATTTCTTCTTCTTTCGTCCCCAGACATTTCACCTTATTGCCATACATTTTTAATTCATCCAATTTTCTAACCGAACGTAGTAACGTTGCCTGTCGAACCGAGAAATTAAACTTTCCCTTTCTTATTTTCTTACCGTAACACAACGTCTTGTCGTTTAAAGTACGATCCCTTTCGATTAGAATCCACTTGATGTGCTATAAAATAGAGAAAGAGAAAAGAAAAGGAATAAAAATAACGAGGAAAGGTAATAATAAAAAAAAAAGAAAAGAAAAAAAAGACAAAGAGAACACAGAATGAAAGAAAAGAAAATGAATTACAAAGTCGAAAAGATATTTAGAAAGAAAGAAAGAATGAAAAAATGGGGAAAAGCAACTATGGATAAGGGCCAAGCGTATTTTCTACTACGTAAAGAGAGAGACCTAGGATATAAAAAAAAAAAAAAAAAAGAGAAAACAAGAGAAAGAACATGGCGACAGATTCCAGGTCGTAAAATATCCGGTTAGATGAAATATTCGGCTCATGGAGAAAGAAGTTCCTTCTCGTCCTCTCTATCTCTCTCACTCTCTCGAATAAGGAAGCTTGAAGGTAGAAGTAACAACTATGAGATCGTTGGGTGGGTGGTAGTAAAGTGGGGGGGGGGGGGGGTGGGGGAAGGACTGCTTGGGATTAAGATAAGCCAGGGGTACCAGTGAAAGCTTTCGAATAGTTTCTGGAAGCCCCGTTACGATAAAGCTTTCTAAACCGATACTCTCTCTCTCTCGCACACACACACACACACACACACTCGTTCTTTCTCTCTCTCACTTTCTATCTATTTAAAATTCTAATTCCATCGCAAGGAAGAACATCAGCAGCAGCAGGACACAATGAGTAAAGGCGCGTGTAAAAGCACGCGCAAACAGGATGCCAGGTTCCTGGATCGAAACTATGACCCTTCATGGACGTACTTTAAGTCTCGCAAAAGCCTAGGAGAGCTTTCCTATTCTAACTATTCATCGTTGGGTAAAAAGGGAAAAAAGGGAAAAGGTTGAGATAGGCGAAAGGAAACGACGACTAAGCTGTCACGCTTTTAATACGGCTTTTGAAGAGACGTTTAGCATGCCGATGATGATAGATCACCTCGTATACTATATATAGTATATAGTATATATATATATGTATTCATTGAGAAAATATTTTATTTTTTATTTTTCTATATACGTCTATTACCACTCGGAAAAAAGAAGAAGAAGAAAGAAAGGGGTGGGGTTTTGGGTGAAAGGGAAATATCCCTCTGCTTAACTTTTAATTGAAATTTGTTTTTATTACTTTTCTTTTTTCTTTTTTCTTTTGTTTGTTTGTTTGTTTGTTTCTCTTTCTTAAGAGAAAAACTTCGAGTAGAAAAATGTTCAAACGAGAAAAGACCCCGTCACAAATTTCGTGACAATACACGTTTCATCGATCGGACGAGTTAAAATGCTTCGCGATATTTTATAATATTGTTTCAATGTATTTTATTATTCGTTATGTCATAAAGAATTATATCTATCACATCCGTCCCCAATAAGAAAATATTTGATTTTTATTTTTCTTTTCTAACCGTGACCCAAAAATAGGGCGGAATGTAATTCGTTTTAAATTGAAATTTGTGTTTTCTTATTCTCTCTCTTTTTTTTATTTTAACGAAGAGAATAAGAGAGAAAACTTTCTTCAACTTGTCTTTCTTTTTTTTTTTTTTTTTCTTTTTTCAACAACCACGCTTTATCGCAAGCGCTTCGAAACGCGTTGATTTTAACTTACGCGGTATATATTATGTGATTTTTCTTTTTTTTTTTTTGTTATTTTACCACTTTTACTTACATCAAGTTAGTAATATGCGAATTACTTCTGCTCGAAATTTTGTAATTACATTTTCGTTATCTTCCTTCTCTCTCTCTCTATCTATCTTCGTGAGGAAACTTTCTTTAAGATTTTCGACTAACGTATATTTTTTTGTCTTTTTATTTTATCATTATCATCGCGTTACGAACGAGTTGATTTTTGAAAGAAATTGCATGGAAATTCGTGATGCAGATGTTAAAGGAAAGTAGAGAGTAGTAAAGTCTCGTTTTAGTTAAACGCACGAATATAGGCAGGAGGGATGGGGGTGGTTGGAAGAAGAAGTGGGAGGGGTGGGGAGATGAAGGGATGGGGGTGGAGGTGTTAGAGAGGAAGTCCCATTACTATCTGCATCGATCTCGTTTCTATTCATAAAGCCGAAGCTTTCCAGTTTCCAATTTTGATCGAAATTTCGGCTAATTCGTGGAATATTATCGTGGAATAAAAAGATTTACCGCTGAGCACTACCGGAAATTCGCTAATTGCTAATTGATTTGATTTAAACCGAAGTGGTTAATTCAAAATGATGCGAAATGATTATGATCGTGTGCGGGATCGTGAATGATTATGTCTGTGTTACCCTTGTGTGGATTACTCAAACGGCTTACGTTAATTTCAACCAATTATTGGAAATTTTAATGTTTTCCTAAGCGACTCGAACCCGAACTCTGCCAATTTTCTATCTTTCGCAAATTTTCTTGTTGAATTTGGGTTACGTCCAGAATATAACATACATGTATGTGTGTGTATGTTATAAATATAATAACATACTATATATATATGTAGCGCCTATTTATACAATTCAAAATAATATTTCAAATATTACACGTATTTATATATGTGCATAAAACATATTATTAATAATGAAATAATATTATATATATATGTGTGTGTATACGTATAATATATTTAATTAGAACATACAACGTATGCACTTATTTTGATAAGATTAATAATAATAAAAAAAAAAAGATACTCCGTAAAACTATCTACCCTAATTGCAACGGGTATGTTTGTTTAGATGCATCGTTCGAAAATTTCTACGTTTACGTAAACACACTCGGTAACATTTTATAATTCATTTGATAGAATTATCGATAATAAGAAAATATTCGTGAAAAGGAACCTGACCGTTTGTTTATTTTTAGTATGCACCGTTAATCGATCGATACAAATTCGTATTATTAAAGTGTGTTTCTCGTTGGAAAGTTAGTTTTCTAAGTGATCACATCGAATGAGAAAATGAAATTTTAATACTTCAGGAACGTAACGTTTACGTGTATACAAGTTAAATATAAAATTTTATCAATGAAATAAACATACGTATAAAATACGATCGTTTAAATATTTAGATGTGAAATATGAATATTTTAAATATATGTACGTCTATGTGTTAACATTAAAACGTAAAATCTATTAATTTATGAAATAACTAACTAAACCCATAAAATAAATATCTATATTGACTTGTTTGGAAATGAAAGAAGATAAAATTACATATTTTAAATAGGTAATATAAGAATTCGCGCGAGAAATACGAGTAATTAAAATATTAAATTGAAATTTGATCCGTGTAGATTAAATCCAATAATAAAATACAACTAACGGAACATTGAGTTTTCAAAGTACGGAAAATAGATATAACTACGGGGTGTTGTAAAAATAAATACATATAGAAACGACTAAAGGATTACTATAT